ACATTTACTTGCTTATGATTATGGGCAAGCTGATTAGCCCTGTGGGACCTCAGATTCCCCTTTTGGAACATTAGGTTAATACCAGTCCTGCAGGGTTGTTGCACTAAATGAAATACTGTATGTGAAGCGCCTGGCACAGTGTCTGGTACATTTGTGTTTAATAAAGGCTAACTCCATGTTCATAAGAGAGGACTGAACAGCTCTTCCTCTAGCTGTCTGGGTGTGTAACTCTTACAGTAGCCTATACAATAAAGGTACCTTTATTAGATCTTTATGGGACAGAGGATTTGTCAGGAGGTTAGTTCTTTGTTTTGGGGTGCAGAGAAAGAAAAGAGCAGCAACAGCAGAGGCTGGACTCCCTGGTTCAGTATTTAATGCCATTTTATTCACATGTTCCCATGTTCTCCCTCCCTCCCATTATAGCTTTGCTGCCCAGGGGAGGGATATGTCTTCCTTTATGCATCTGCGAAACCAGGAACAGACCCTGGGCAGGAGAGTCAGAGGGGGAAGAGTTAGAATGGGTTAGTGGCTGGAATAAAGTTCTGGTGAAGGAGGAAATGAGCACTCCCCACAGTGGGAGGCAGAGAAGGCACTTGTCTCCGATGCAGCCCCGAAGACCAGCCTCCTTTGGGCAAAAGGTAAGACTCTGGCATGCAGGCCAATGCTCTCTCCTTGGAGCAAGAAGCCAGCTTTTGGGGAAGGCAGGACCTGAGGCAGGCACTGCCCTGTGCTCTTCCCCAGGTTGAGGAGAGAAGTAGAAGCACCATGGATGATAGTGCTCCCAGCTGAGGGAGGAAGCAGAGGTTTAAGGCTATGGGGTCCAGGGGGAAAGGCCAAACAGAAACCCAACTACCCCCTAATGAGGGTCCTGGAGGTGGGGGTTTCCTAGAGCTCCTCAGAGACCTTCTTCCCATCAAAAAGCTATCAAATGCTTTGAAAGTTCCCTGATTTTGTATAGATCCTACAAAAGCAAAAACCACTTATTTTACCACTGTGAGGCATGCTGAGGTGGATACTTAAAAGGCTATTTCCAGGCCAGGTGCGGTGACTATAATCCCAGCACTTTGGGAGGCTGAAGCAGGAGGATCACTTGAGCCCAGGAGTTCAAGACCAGCCTGGGCAACATAGTGAGACCCTGTCTCTGCAAAAAAATAAAAATAAAAATAAATAAAAAAAATTAGCTGTGTGTGGCATCTGTGGTCTCAGCCACCCAGGAGGCTGAATGGGAGGCTCGCTTGGGCCTGGGAAGTCAAGTTGTCATGAGGTGTGATCACACCAGGGCACTCCAGCCTGAATGACAGAACAAGACTTTGTCTCAAAAAAAAAAAAAAAAAAAAAAAAAAAAGGCTATATAGGTAAGGCTTGGTGGGAATTTGGGAGTCAGTTTCTTTCTTTCTTTCTTTTTTCTTTTTTGAGATGGAGTCTCACTTTGTCACCCAGGCTGGAGGGCAATGGCACGGTCTCGGCTCCCTGCAACCCCCACCCCCTGGGTTCAAGCAATTCTCCTGCCTCGGTCTCCTAAGCAGTTGGGATTACAGGCGCCTGCACCTGGAAGATAGTGCCCGGCTAATTTTTGTATTTTTAGTAGAGACGGGGTTTCACCGTGTTGGCCAGGCTGGTCTCAAACTCCTGACCTCGTGATCTGCCTACCTTGGCCTCCCAAAGTGCTGGGATTACAAGCATGAGCCACCGTGCTGGGCCAGGAGTCAGTCTCTTTGGGGACCAGGGCACCTCTATTATTGGTGAGAGGTAGGTATTCATATTTCCCTTCCTCCCTCTTTCCCACAGGACTCCTCTCTGTTCTTTAAACATATCCCTACAAGGCTGGTCTGGGTTAAAGCACAGATCCTATCTGCAAGTCCAAGAGGTGGGGAAGTTTGTGTGTGGGTCCTGTGGGCTCCAACCCTGCTCACCTAATGTTCCCAGGTCCTTATGGGGTGAGGGCAAAAGTGGAGGTCTAGGTTCAGGTCTGGTTAGAACCAGAGGATATGGTGAGGGATACAGTGGAACCATTATCAGAATCCAGGTCCAGGATGGTGTGGGGGGCTGTGGCCTGAGGTCCTGGTCCCAGTTGGCACTCTCGAAGACTCTGGAGATAACTCAGGAGGGGTACAAGGCAGAGAGGGAGTAAGGAGGGGCCTGGGTCAGAGCCCCCCTCCCACCCTGATCATCCCCATATGCCCTCTGCTTGATCCGCCCAGGGTATCCCCAAGCCCCACACTCACTGGAGCAAGACTGTCAGCAGGGCTCTGGGTATTGGCGGGGAGCTGGTGCCGATAGTTGCCCTCACAAAGCCCCACCCTAGAGGGGGTCCGGTGCCATTTGGCCTTTTGCTGTCGGGTCCAAAGGAGTTGGAGATGCCGTTGCTGGTGGCTCAAGACCACTGCTGGCTGGGTGCAGCCACTCACATCTGTACTCCCAGCACTTTGGGAGGCTGAGGTGGGAGGATCACTTGAGGTTGGGAGTTTGAGACCAGCCCGGAACATGGTGAAACCCCATCTCTATTAAAAATACCAAATTTAGCCAGGCATGGTGGTTCATGTCTGTAATCCCACTACTCGGGAGTCTGAGCCATGAGAATCGCTTGAATCCAGGAGGCGGAGGTTGCAGCGAGCCAAGATCATGCTACTGCACTCCGGCCTGGGTGACACAGTGAGACTCCATCACAAAAAAAAAAAAAAAAAAAAAAAGGGCCAGGCAAGGTGGCTTGTGCCTGTAATCCCAGCACTTTGGGTGGTCAAGGAAGATGGATCACCTGAGGTCAGGAGTTCGAGACCAGCCTGGCCAACATGGTGAAACCCCGTCTCTGCTAAAAATACAAAAAATTAGCTGGACGTGGTGGCAGGCACCTGTTATCCTAGCTACTTTGGAGGCTGAGACAGAAGAATCGCTGGAACCAGGGAGGTGGAGGTTGCAGTGAGCAGAGGTTGTACAATGTACCACCACCCTGTCTCAAAAAAAAAAATAAATAAATAAAAATAAAAAAGACCACTGCTTTGGAGGGGCAATACAGACTCAAGGAGGCCTCTTTAGACCCTGAATCCTACCCTAAACACACACCCTAAAGAAACCCATTTGACCTTCCTGTTATGTTTCTCTCAAGCCTCATCTTTCCCCCATTTATCCTAAAAAAAAAAAAAAAACCTCTTTGGAATTCTACTCTTTCCTCCTAGACTTCCCTGAGACCCTTCTTTCTTTCCATAACTCTTTTTTTTTTTTTTTGGAGACGGAGTTTCGCTCTTGTTACCCAGGCTGGAGTGCAATGGCTCGATCTCGGCTCACCACAACCTCCGCCTCCTGGGTTCAGGCAATTCTCCTGCCTCAGCCTCCTGAGTAGCTGGGATTACAGGCACGCGCCACCATGCCCAGCTAATTTTTTGTATTTTTAGTAGAGACAGGGTTTCACCATGTTGACCAGGATGGTCTCGATCTCTCGACCTCGTGATCCACCCGGCTCAGCCTCCCAAAGTGCTGCGATTACAAGCTTGAGCCACCGCGCCTGGCCTTCTTTCCATAACTCTTTTCTGCTTTCCCCTGACTCCTTCAACTTTTTTTTTCAGTGCCTTGCCCCATTCACATCTCACATCCTGGCAGCCACCGGAACCTCCCCTTAGGATATTGGTGGGACTTTTCCTACCCCACTCTTCCCCCAGAAGTATCAGAGTGGCCAATGGGATTTTAATTCAGATCCTGAAAGGAGAACACCAAGGAGGAGCTGGCGTTTGGGGCACTGTGGGAATGAGGTGGCATGGATGCAGGCACTTTACTTCCTTCAGCTGTCCTTTGGATCTCAAGGTCCTAACAGGCTGAAAGGTTGGCTCCCGGGACTCCTCTCCTCAATCCGCTTGGAAGTCTGGGGACTCTAAACAAGGGAGGAGGGGTGAGGAGAGGGTGTTAACTACTCACCACCCTGCCAGGGTTGAGGAGAGGACGGGGTGGAAGTGCTTCCATAGATCCCCACCTGCATCCCCACCCGGAGGTCCTAGGCGCCGGGGTGGCTGTCAGTCGAAGGCACCCCCATGGCCAATCTGTTTGTTGCCCCCTAAGCTCTTTCAAATCGCGGCCGAGGCCCTAGCTCTAGCCCAAGCCCTAGCTCTAGCCCAAGCTAGAGCTAAACGCAACTAGCTTAGGGGGTGGAGGAAGGAGACAGGGTGTGTGTGTGCGTGTGTGTGTGTGTGTGTGTGTGTGTAGTTTGGGGGATGGAGGAAGGAGACAGGGTGTGTGTGTGCGTGTGTGTGTGTGTAGTCTGGGGGGTGGAGGAAGGAGATGGGTGCGTGTGTGTGTATGTGTGTGTGTAGTTTGGGGGGTGGAGGAAGGAGACGGGTGTGTGTGTGTGTGTGTGTGTGTGTGTGTGTAGTTTGGGGGGTGGAGGAAGGAGACGGGGTGTGTGTGTGTATGTGTGTGTGTGTGTAGTTTGGGGGGTGGAGGAAGAAGTGTGTGTGTGTGTGTGTGTGTAGTTTGGGGGGTGGAGGAAGGCGACAGGGTGTGTGTGTGTGTGTGTGTGTGTTAGTTTGGGGGGTGGAGGAAGGAGACGGGGTGTGTGTGTGTAGTTTGGGGGGTGGAGGAAGGAGACAGGGTGTGTGTGTGTGTAGTTTGGGGGTGGAGGAAGGAGACGGGTATGTGTGTGTGTATGTGTGTGTGTAGTTTGGGGGGTGGAGGAAGGAGACGTGTGTGTGTGTGTGTGTGTGTGTAGTTTGGGGGGTGGAGGAAGGAGACTGTGTGTGTGTGTGTGTAGTTTGGGGGGTGGAGGAAGGAGACGGGTGTGTGTGTGTGTGTGTGTGTGTGTAGTTTGGGGGGTGGAGGAAGGAGACAGGGTGTGTGTGTGTGTGTGTGTGTGTGTGTGTGTGTAGTTTGGGGGGTGGAGGAAGGAGACAGGGTGTGTGTGTGTGTGTGTGTAGTTTGGGGGGGTGAAGGAAGAAGACAGGGTGTGTGTGTGTGTGTGTGTGTGTGTATGAGTGTGCGCGCGCGCGGTAGGAGCGGGAGCGGGGTGGGGGAATGACATCACAAGGCAGGCTCCTCCAAGTCTTTCCCCTGTACGTGGGGGGACACAGGTCGCCTACTGCTCTAGTCCAGGACCAGAGACCCCCAACTATATAGCAGGTAAGAGTCTTGAGGGTCATCCCAAGAGTTGTGGGGAAGGGTCTTCGAATACTTAGGAGATGACTCGACAACTGGAAGCTCTCAAAGCCCCAATAAGGGTCCCAGCGCCCCCCCTAACTCCAGTTTGGTTTCTTCCACTTCCCAGAGAATTGGAGTATTGTCTTCTGGAGAACGGGGTGGTAGGGATCCGGGATCTAGGGAAGGGGCTTTGCTGGTCTGGGAGCGCCAGCGGGGGGTTCATGTGTGGAAAAACTTTCGGATCAAGACGGGGCCTGGAAGGGGCACTGACAGGAGAGCTGTAAGGCTAGAGGCGTGTGCAGGGGACCAACAAAAAGGGAACCCAGCTGGGTCTACGTGGGGGCGGGGCGCATGCGGACGTCGACCAAATAGCCTGGTATGCAGATGAGATGTCAAGCAGCATGTGGATAAGTTCAGTGTTCTTTGGCTCTCAGCTTAGGTTCTGAGCCTAGCTGAGTTACGCTCCCAGTTCCCAGGCACCGCTCGGCGATCGGGCCTGGGGAGCTACGTCCAGAGGGGCGGATCCAGGCCGTGGGAGCTGCAGTTATTAGGGGTTGCTCACCAGCTGGGTCAGGCGCAGGGGAGGCCGTGGGTTGCTGTGAAAGGAGAGGCAGTGCTGCGGAGCTAGGGAGGAGGCCAGTCCCGGGCACCCTCTCTTCTTCTCCACCTCCGCAGGATACAAAGGGGCCTCTGTTATCGCAGCAGCCGGCACAAAAGGGATCAGGGCAGGCTCTTCTGAGCTCCCTGGTTTTGTGTGCAAGGCAAAGAGACTATGTGTGGTTCGGTGGCTGCCCTCCATGCCCCAGGAATCCAAAGCCTAGGAACAGCCAGAGCAATCCTGAGAGTCTTCCCCTAGTCTGCAGGCATTGGTGCAGAGCCCACCTGCCAACCTGCGGGAATCCTATTCCCACACGCAGAGGGAAGCACCAAAAGGCCCTTTAAAGGGCGGGGCCAGTACTTCCTTAGGACCGCCTCCTTGGTGCCTACCCAGCGCTAGCTGGACTGGCTCGCCTCTCCGCCAACCACTGTTCCTTTTCCTTCCCGTCGCTTCCCGGGTGACCCCGGAAGTGGAAGTAGGCCCTGGTCGGCGACGGCGGGGACGGAAGGCGGAAGCAGAGCGTGAACGGGAGGCGGAGCCGGGAGAGCGGCTCTCGTAGCTCCCCCTGGCCTCAGGCCTTGCGGCTCGAGGGGGAGGAGTTACCGCCGTTCTTCGGTACGTTACCTTAGTCCCTTTTTTCTTTCTTTCTTTTTTTTTTTTTTTTAAAAGACAGAGTTTCTCGCTCTGTCGCCCAGGGTGGAATGCAGTGGCGCGATCTCTGCTCACTGCAACCTCCGCCTCCCGGGTTCAAGCGATTCTCCTGCCTCAGCCTCCTGAGTAGCTGGGATTACAGGCGCTCGCCACCACGCCCGGGTAATTTTTGTATTTTTCATAGAGACGGGTTTCACCATGTTTTCCAGGCTGGTCTCGAACTACTGACCTCGTGGTCCGCCCGCCTCAGCCTCCCAAAGTGCTGGGATTACAGGCGTAAGCCACCGCGCCCACCCACTTCTTCCCTTCTACACAGCCGGTGGGTTCTCTGGTAGTCTTTCTTAGGGGCAGTTCTAAGCTCCGTCCCCAGGTTTTCCTCTTGGGCCGCACGGTTCCCACCCTTCAACAGCTGTCTGTTGCCCCCTTTCTGGCTGGCCGTCTTTCCCTTTTTCCTGAGAGTGACCCTCTCCTCCCCTGACCACACCCTTTACGGTTCCTCCCTCTTGAAGATTATAGTTTTCTGGGGAAAGAAGAAAAACTTAAGTGATTTGGAGGAGGGGAGGGAGCAAGCAGTAAGCAGGGTTTTGGTGAGTTTAGTTTTCGCTTACTGCTAAGAATAGCAAATACCCCCAAAGAACTTGGGAAAACAAGGGCGGTGGATGTATTAAATATGTCCACTATTTAAGATTGTTTCATTTCTCTCTTGGTCCCATCCTTGACCGTCCCCACCTTGGTATCTGTTACAGGCATCAGAACACACCATGATGGCCGTGACCTAAGACCCTCAGGAAGCCCCGGGGTCATGGCCCAGAAGCACCCCGGAGAAAGTGGGTTGTGCAGAGCCCACCACAGTAGTGGTGCCTCCCTCAGGACTTTAGGACCCTCCGTGGACCCTGAAATACCTTCATTCTCAGGACTCAGGGACTACGCAGGGACTGCTCCTAATGGTACCCACTGCCTCACAGAGCACTCTGGTCCTAAGTACACACGGCACCCAAACCCAGCCCACTGGTCGGACCCAAGCCATGGCCCCCCAAGGGGTCCAGGACCACCTAGAGAGGCAGAAGACCCTGATCAGAGTGAGGCATCTTCAGAAGAGGAGTCAGGAGTGGACCAGGAACTCTCAAAAGAAAACAAGGCTGTGTACCAGGAGGATGGGAACCCTTCTTTTCTTTCCATTCCATCTGCTTGCAACTGCCAGGGAACCCCTGGAATTCCAGAAGGGCCTTACTCTGAGGGAGGAGATGGCTCTTCTAGCAACTTTTGCCACCACTGTACCTCTCCATCCTTCGGGGAAGATGAAGAGTTGGAAGAGGAATATGATGATGAAGAATCTCTTAAGTTCCCCAATTATTTTTCACATGTGTCCAGCGGAAAGAAACCTCCACCCCGGAGACAGCGACACCGCGTTGCAACGAAGGAGGATAGTCGGGAGGGTCTGCGTAGGGATCCCAGGTCCCCTGGTCGACATCGGCTGGGCCGGAAACGAAGTCAGACAGATAAGCGCAGAGGCCTGGGATTGTGGGGAGCCGAGGAACTATGTCAACTTGGACAGGCAGGCTTTTGGTGGCTGATTGAATTACTGGTATTGGTGGGAGAGTACGTAGAAACTTGTGGCCATCTCATCTATGCATGCAGGCAGCTGAAAAGCAGTGATTTGGACCTTTTTCGAGTTTGGGTAGGAGTCTGGACAGGGCGGCTCGGGGGCTGGGCCCAGGTCATGTTTCAATTTCTAAGCCAGAGGTTTTACTGTGGCTTAAGACTGTTTACCCGTTTTCTTAGGCTGCTGGGTGCTTTGCTGCTCCTGGCTCTGGCCCTCTTTTTGGGCTTTCTACAGTTGGGCTGGCGGTTTCTGGTGGGACTAGGTGACCGGTTAGGCTGGAGGAATAAGGCCACCTGGCTCTTCTCTTGGCTGGATTCTCCAGCCTTGCAGCGTTGCTTGACTCTGCTGAGAGATAGCAGGGCATGGCAGCAGCTGGTAAGAATAGTTCAGTGGGGCTGGCTGGAGTTGCCTTGGGTCAAGCAGAGTACTAACAGGCAAGGGAATGCATCTGTAGCTAGTGGGCGCTACTGCCAGCCTGAAGAGGAAGTGGCTCGACTCTTGACCATGGCTGGGGTTCCTGAGGATGAGCTAAACCCTTTCCATGTACTGGGGGTTGAGGCCACAGCATCAGATGTTGAACTGAAGAAGGCCTATAGACAGCTGGCAGTGATGGTGAGTACGCTTCTGTTTCTTGTTCCTCTTTTGTTCCCATATTTTCTATTCCAATTTTAGGGAGAGTAGAATAAAAGGCAGGCAGAGAAGAAAGTTAATGGAAAGGTGAAGGTTAACATATTCTTAGGAAAGAGTCATAAAGACTTTTTGGGTCAGATGTAGTGGTTTACACCTGTAAGCCCAGCACTTTGAGAGGCCGGGCTTGGTGGTGCATGCTTGTAGTCCCAGCTACTTGGGAGACTGAGGTGGAAGGATCAGTTGAGTCCAGGAGGTTGAGGCTGCAATGAGCCAGAATCATGCCACTGCACCTCCATTATGGACAGCAAAGCCAGACCGTGTCTCAAAAAAAAAAGAAAAAAAAAAAGAGGGGCATTTTCCCTTCTACTATGGGTTCTGATCTTCCCTCCATTTTGTTTCCTGTCATGAGCTATAGTTTTTTGAACCTGGTACAGTAGGTAGTGTAGAAATCACTCACCTGGAATATCTAGAGTGGGAAAAAGACCTATTCAGAGAGCACCTCGGTTGCTCTTCCCTGAACAAATGAGGGTTTTTTTTTTTTTTTTAAACATGGGGTAGCCAGGCGCGTGGCTCACGCCTGTAATCCCAGCACTTTGGGAGGCCGAGGCGGGTGGATCACGAGGTCAAGAGATCGAGACCATCCTGGTCAACATGGTGAAACCCCGTCTCTACTAAAAATACAAAAATTAGCTGGGCATGGTGGCGCACGCCTGTAGTCCCAGCTACTAGGGAGGCTGAGGCAGGAGAATTGCTTGAACCCAGGAGGCAGAGGTTGCGGTGAGCCGAGATCGTGCCACTGCACTCCAGCCTGGGTAACAAGAGCGAAACTCCGTCTCAAAAAAAAAAAAAAAAAAAACATGGGGTAACTCAACTATTTCTCCCAGAGAAGCAAATAAGGACCTAGTGTGGGAGGGTCAGGGAGTGCATGTGAGTAAGTATTTTAGCACCAGATAGAGAAAACTGGCTGTTTTCAGGATCAGCAACTCAGAAGAGGGAAGGAGAATGGAACATAAATCATAGGTGTATGCATATATATGTCATACATGAAAATATGGTTGCTTTTAATGATAAGAGGGTGTGCAGATGGGAGTTGTGATGCACCATGTGCTTGAGGAAAATGGTTTAATACAAGCATGCAATTGAATTGCATTAGAAGTAGATAATAGGTTACTATTATTAGATACCAGATTGTTACTGCTATTTCTGTACAAATAAAACTATATTATGAATATAAGTGTGTAAGTGGAGGCCTACTTTCACTGGAGTGCTTGGAGCTCAGCGTATGGAGCTGGACTAATAACAACATCACAGTGTGTAAATTACCTCAGAGGCTGCATGACTTTAGGAGTGGGCAACTAAAATTTCCATTAATGATGAAAGGTACAGTAAACCACCATGCCTGTAACTCGCCAAAAGACTGAATTAGTTCTGGTGGGAAATGTCTGCTCCTTTGTAGGTAGCTTGGTATATTCTTTTTTTTTGAGACAAGGTCTCATTCCAGTTCCCCATGCTAGAGTACACTGGCACGATCTCAGGTGATTCTTCCACCTCAACTTCCTGGGACTACAGGCATGCACTACCACACTAGGCTAATTTTTTGTGTTTTTAGTAGAGATGGGGTTTCGCTATTTGCCTAGCCTGATCTTGAACTCCTGGACTCGAGTAATCTGCCTGCCTCGGCCTTCCAGAGTGCTGGGATTACAGGCATGAGCCACTGCGTCTGGCGTCTGCTGTATTCTTAGAGTGGGTAACAATTGTTCACTCTCATTGTTACTGATTCTAATAGTAGAACTGTTTTCTCACTTTCTTTTTTTTTTTTTGAGATGGAGTTTCACTCTTGTTACCCAGGCTGGAGTGCAATGGCGCGATCTCGGCTCACCGCAACCTCCACCTCCTGGGTTCAGGCAATTCTCCTGCCTCAGCCTCCTGAGTAGCTGGGATTACAGGCACGCGCCACCATGCCCAGCTAATTTTTTGTATTTTTAGTAGAGACGGGGTTTCACCATGTTGACCAGGATGGTCTCGATCTCTTGACCTCGTGATCCACCCACCTTGGCCTCCCAAAGTGCTGCGATTATAGGCTTGAGCCACCGCGCCCAGCTTTCTCACTTTCTTTTAGCAGACATCTTGTTTTGGACAATATCATTCTTTTTTTTTTTTTTTTTAAGACCGAGTTTCACTCTTTTGCCAAGGCTGGAGTGCAGTGGTGTGATCTGGACTCACCACAACCTCCACCTCCTGGCTTCAAGTGATTCTCCTGCCTCAGCCTCCTGAGCAGTTGGGATTACAGGCATGTGCCACTATGCTTGGTTAATTTTGTATTTTTAATAGAGATAGGGTTTCTCTATGTTGGTCAGGCTGGTCTCCAACTCCTGACCTCAGGTGATCCACCTGCATTAGCCTCCCAGTGCTGGGATTACAGGTATGAGCCACCTCACCCAGCCTGAGAATATTATTCTTTTTTTTTTAAGACAGAGTCTTGCTTTTTCGCTAGGCGCCAGGCTGGAGTGCAGTGGTGTGATCTCAGCTCACTGCAACCTCCACCTCCTGGCTTCAAGCAATTTTCCTGCCTCAGCCTCCCGAGTAGCTGGGACTACAGGCGCACGCCACCACGCCCAGCTAATTTTTGTATTTTAGTAGAGACGGGGTTTTACTATGTTGAACAGGATGGTCTCGATCTCTTGACCTCGTGATCCACCTGCCTTAGCCTCCCAAAGTGCTGGGATTACAAGCGTGAGCCACCGCACCCGGCTGAGAATATTCTTAACAAAAATTCTCATTTTCTCTTGGAGTAGAGATGTAGTTAAGTTCCCCCTACCCTCAAAACATCTGTCCCTATACCCCAAATATCTCTCTTGTCCTGGACCAGAGTGTATCTGGGCTTTTATTGAACCCCTCACTGCCTTACTAGGCCCCAGTGTGAACATGACTAAAAGGCTGTTCAGTTAGCTTAGGAATGTAGTTAACAGTATTTAGTTATTTGGCATCAGTCAGGACTAGCTTTATCTCTGTATTTTTGAGGAATGGGGATGGGTACAATCAGGAAGCTGTAGGAAGAGAGGATATTATTTGTCTTGGAGAAGAGTATATAAAAAGCCTCCGAGACCATGATATGCCGTTTCATTTCTGGGACTGAAAGGCAGATCACTGTAGGAAATTTTGAATATGAGAATCTTCTAGTTATAAAAGAATGAGTTCCAGGCCTGGCATGATGGCTCATGCCTATAATCCCAGCACTTTGGGAGGCCGAGGTGGGCAGATCACCTGAGGTCAGGAGACCAGCCTGACCAACATGGAGACACCCCATCTCTACAAAAATACAAAATTTTAAGTGTGGTGACATGCACCTGTAATCCCAGCTACTTGGGATGCTGAGGCAGGAGACCTGCTTCAACCTGGGCAGTGCAGGTTGCAAGATCATGCCATTGCACTCCAACCCAGGCAACAAGAGGGAAACTCCATCTCAAAACAAAAACAGAGTTTCAACATACAGCATCTTTGGAACTCTTATTTTATGACTGATACATGTGAGTGCCAGAGACCAACTGTCCCTATTCATCTGAGATGGAGGAGTTTCTAGAGGCATGGGACTTTTCAGTGCTAAAACTGGGACAGTCTCAGGCAAACTGGGATGATGAATCCACCCTAGTACCTGATTCTTTGCTACATACTTCATATTTATTCTTATTTAATCCTCCCAACAGTCTATGATAGATATTCAGGCTAGGTGCAGTGGCTCATGCCTGTAATCCCAGCACTTTGGGAGGCCGAGGCAGGAGGGTCACTTGAGGTTAGAAGTTTGAGACCAGATTGGCCAACTAGGTGAAACCCCATCTCCACTAAAAATACAAAAAAATTAGCTGGGCGTGGTGGCGCACATCTGTAATCTCACCTACTAGAGAGGCTGAGGCAGGAGAATTGCTAAAAACTGGGAGTCAGAGGTTGCAGTGAGCTGAGATCCGACCACTGCACTCCAGCCCTGCCAACACAGCGAGACCTTGTCTCAAAAAGAAAAAAAACCCGCCGGGCGCGGTGGCTCAAGCCTGTAATCCCAGCACTTTGGGAGGCCGAGGCGGGTGGATCACGAGGTCGAGAGATCAAGACCATCCTGGTCAACATGGTGAAACCCCGTCTCTACTAAAAATACAAAAACATTAGCTGGGCATGGTGGCACGTGCCTGTAATCCCAGCTACTCAGGAGGCTGAGGCAGGAGAATTGCTTGAACCCAGGAGGCAGAGGTTGCGGTGAGCCGAGATCGTGCCATTGCACTCCAGCCTGGGTAACAAGAGCGAAACTCCGTCTCAAAAAAAAAAAAAAAAAAAAAAAAAGAAAAAAAACCCATAGATATTCAAGGTAATGTAGCTAATTAACAGAGCTGTGAACTGAACCACATCTATCTGCAGAGCCAGAGCAATTAATCATTTACACTAACTCTTCAAAAGGGTGATGAAAGAGAATCCTTTGATATGAGAACAGACTCAACGTGGGGAGAGGTTGGAATGGATTTGTACTGAAATCTCTCTGTCTTGGTAGGTTCATCCTGACAAAAATCATCATCCCCGGGCTGAGGAGGCCTTCAAGGTTTTGCGAGCAGCTTGGGACATTGTCAGTAATGCTGAAAAGCGAAAGGAATATGAGATGTAAGTTGGAGATGGGAAATTGTCAGATAATGGTAAATGAAAAATCCTCAATAGGAGAGGCATCTGGACTTGGGGTTGGAGGCTCTTTGAGGTGGAGAAAACTGAAGTCACTTGTCTTTCTAACTAGACAGGGGCCTCAAGAGGCCAATTGATGTGTTTCCCTTTGTCCCTCCCTCAATATCCTGACTTACAAAGCGTTTCTTCTCTTAGGAAACGAATGGCAGAGAATGAACTGAGCCGGTCAGTAAATGAGTTTCTGTCCAAGCTGCAAGATGATCTCAAGGAGGCAATGAATACTATGATGTGTAGCCGATGCCAAGGAAAGCATAGGTATAAAATAGGAGGAGAGGGATGGGACAATCACAGCTCAGGCATTAAGTAACCAAAGATCTTCCTAGAATTACATCTGTATTTCATGATCAGTAAAAAGACCCTTAAGTTCCTACCTTTGTCATATTGTGAAGAGACTGATGAATTGAATTAGCACTAAGAAAAAGTAGCTTTAAGATAGAAGATTGAAGGCATATGAAATAACTAAGTGGAGGTAATTTTAGTTGTTTGAGCCCTATTGGTGAATAATGATGAGACTACTAGCAATGCTTTAGGTAGGCTTGACAAATTATTAAGCAACTATCCTTTTGTTGGTTGCAGGAGGTTTGAAATGGACCGGGAACCTAAGAGTGCCAGATACTGTGCTAAGTGTAATAGGCTACATCCTGCTGAGGAAGGAGACTTCTGGGCAGAGTCAAGCATGTTGGGTCTCAAGATCACCTACTTTGCAGTGATGGATGGAAAGGTGTATGACATCACAGGTACTCTTCTGTCCTCTAGAAATACAGCCTCATACTTCCTGATCTTTTATGTGATCTAAACTGCGAAGTTTTGGCTATTTCTCATGTTTATAGAGTGGGCTGGATGCCAGCGTGTAGGTATCTCCCCAGATACCCACAGAGTCCCCTATCACATCTCATTTGGTTCTCGGATTCCAGGCACCAGTGGGCGGCAGAGGTAGGTGGTATTTCTATCAATAATCTATCAACTATTTCAGTTTTGATCTATCAACTATTTCAGTTTTGAATATGGTTTCAGATGACCTGCTTTAGGAAATCTAGGGGCCTTGTTTTCTAGGAAGTTTGGGAACTGATAAGTGTATCTAACTTAGGTAACCATATAACTCTAACATCTCTTGCCTTATCATTTCTTCTGTTTTATCTCAGAGCTACCCCAGATGCTCCTCCTGCTGATCTTCAGGATTTCTTGAGCCGGATATTTCAAGTACCCCCAGGGCAGATGCCCAATGGGAACTTCTTTGCGGCTCCTCAGCCTGCCCCTGGAGCCAGTGCAGCCTCTAAGCCCAACAGCACAGTACCCAAGGGAGAAGCCAAAACGAAGCGGCGGAAGAAAGTGAGGAGGCCCTTCCAACGCTGATACCCCTTCTCTTTCCTCAGATCAATGTCAGGGAGTCAAAAGGATATATACAGCACAGGATGGAGTTTGATTTGTCTCTCCTCCCCCAGCACCCAGGAACTGAATCTTTTTTTTTTTTTTTTTGAGATGGAGTCTTGCTTTGTTGCCCAGCTGGAATGCAGTGGCACAATCTGAAGAAGCTCACTGCAACTTCCGTCTCCTGGGTTCAAGCAATTGTCCCATCTCAGCCTCCCGAGTAGCTAGGATTATAGGCACGCACCCCATGCCTGGCCAGGCTAATTTTTTTTTTTTTTTTTGTATTTTCAGTAGAGATGGTGTTTTACCATGTTGCCCAGGCTGGTCTCGAACTCCTGAGCTCAGGTGATCCACTCGTCTTGGCTTCCCAAAGTGCAAGATTACAGGCATGAGCTACCACGCCCGGCCTGAATCTTGTCTTTTGACAATACCAAAGAAATAGTGGGTAGCTAGAGTAAAGAACCTAGGGCCTGGACCTGGGCTGGACAATGTATCCCTTTGAGGTGTGGGAACTGGGTATTTCCCTGGGGTCTGTATGCCTTCGTCTTGTCATTTGCTTTTAGAGCAGACGACACTTTTTCCTGCCCTTTAAAGGTACAAGTCTATCTTCTTTCCTGACCCGTTTCAGGAGGGAGTCCTCTCCTTTTCCCTGATATAATAGTTAAAAGACAGAACAAGAAAGCATGTAGCCCTAATGATAAGAGATACATAAGAGTTCAGAGAGTGGAAACTGAATTTTCCCTCGACTTTCACTTTGTGGGTAAATCACCCAATTTCAAGCTGTTTTCTGCAAGGATGGCCAAAATTAATCATTTTTAAAAAGTAGATTCATGCCCACTGCCCTTGGGTGAGGGGGAAGGATGGGGGGTTCCCAGAAGCCCCCTTGTGATCCAAGGATTTGTATTTTTTTTTAAGTTTGTTCATATTTGTATGTACATATCTATTTAAAGCCAGGGATTATCTTTCTATAAATGTATAACTGGCAACCTGTATCTTCCCTCTTTTTTGCCCATACAGCTAGAGCCCTTTTTCTCATTTGAGAATCTGATCCCTACTAAGTTTAAGCCTAGAGTGAAGAGCACCTCTTACTGGACCAAAGTAGAGGGGATTGGAGAATTGCTTTAAGTTTTTTACATTAGGACTACATTAGGCATTCCATCTTTCCCCGCCCCCGCCCCCGCCAGCCTTATGAGGACAAGCTCTCTACCATTCCTGCTGATTAAACTGCAGCCATAGCTGAAAAAAATTATTAGAAGAAAAATACACAGCAAAACAGAGCTGGAAGGTGGTAGGTGTAGAAGATATGGAAAGATGTAATCACCAAACAAGCTGCCCAAATGGCTTCCTGCTATGGAGGAGAGCGATCTGGCCCTTACCTCACCCGGTAAAGAAACTTGCCGCTAGCAGGACTGGGCCTAGGAGCCCCATTTGCCAATCTCTTCTTTTCTTGGGAGTCTGGGAAAGGTTGCATAGTTCTCAGGCTTTCAGGATGTAGAAGATGGTATGGAGAAGAGAAAGATTTTTTATAGTCCTGTTTCAGTGCCTTCCCCATGCCCGTGGAGCTGTCCCAAACCCATCCCTCAGTATTTATTGATGCCGAAGACACGAACCCCATGGAACTGGGGCAACTTTGGCAGCAGTACACTGAGCAATGAGGCTGTGTTGATGAGGAAGTGTGCAGCATCATACTTGGTATAGAAGCTGGCCAGGAGATAGCTGGGGAGAGAAAAAAATAGGATGAGTGAGGGTAGCCTTCTCTATATGTTTTTCTTAAGAGGCAGTTCTCACTATGTTTCCCAGGTTGGAGTGCATTGGCTATTCATAAATGTGATTAAGTGCAGTAAACCTCAAACTCCTGGGCTTAAACAATCTTTCTGCTATAGCCTCCCAGGAAGTTGGGACTCCAGGCATGCACTGCAGTGCCCTGTTCTTTCTCTTCTATGTAAAATGACCAGTTTTATTATATGTAGTCCTAAATTATCTAAAAATATTCCAGCTATATCAACAGCATTTACGCTGGGGTTCAGGAGAGAGACCTTTAACTGGAGACTATAAGTCAGTTTCTGTTTATTGTTAATGACATGGCAAATGACAGCTGAGGCTATTTCAGTCTGTATGACGGTTAAGAGTCCTCTTTGCTTCCACTCCCTACAGTGTTTTTGAAGATTAATATCAGTTCTGCCTTTATTTACTTCTTTCGGCAGTGTAAAATCATTTGGTTTTACTCTTATCTTAGTCCCTTTATTTCCTTACTACCAAGGAGGCAGCAAGGAATGCTTGATTACAGTACTGTCTTCTACATTTTATTGCTCTCTGTAGGCTTAGAACTAGTATACCATGATTTCTTCAAAGGGTTTTAGATGGGTAGCCTGGTTTTTAACAGCTTCCCTGTTGGGCCTTTATGCCTGGCTCTTGGAGCTTTCTAACCCAGCATTACCCCCATTTCCCTCATAGACTCACAGCACAATAGGAGAGATGCTCAGGAACTTGCGGGAAGAGGTAAACTGGAGCCCATAGTCCATTTGTTCCCAGTGTGTCAGTAGCCGAGCCTTTCCTTGGTCAGGAGTCTCAAAGGGTGTCCCTTTCACCATATGAAGGAAGATATACATAGCCTGGGAACAGGAAGGGTGGTAGTGTGAGGGGCAGAAAGTAGTTCTTCAGTCCAAGAATTGTGTTAAGATCCCAAAAGGAAGATACAAATCCCCAAACAATTGGCAATTTTATTTTGCTTGTGGTTGGGAAACTGGGATGGGTACAAGGGCATGGTTTAGTGCTCACCAGGTTGTGGATGACGTTGGTCAGGGTCCAGACAACAGGAATGCTGAAGAAAGGGATGCTGAGTAGAACCACATGTAGCAGTCCTACCAAGATGATGTAGGCCAGCCAGATGCCTCGGCTATTCATCACTCGAGTGTTGGGGTTTACTTCGCTGTGTGCCACCCCCACATTCATCCTAGCCATAATGGGGGATCAGGTAGGGTCCAACTCAGTTTTTTCTCAACTCCTCTTTGAGCTGTCTCTCAGATTCTCCCAGCTGTCTCTCAGATTCCCTGAACTCTATTGGGAATGAAGAACTTCCCCATCACGCAGAAAATAAAAACTGAAGACTTGGGGAAAACTTTAAAAGGCAAGAAGAATCCTCACTACATTTTAGAGACATGTCATTTTTTCACTGATCTTTACGCTTCAACTGTAACATGAAGGTGTATGCGTAGGCTTGGGGCATTCACTTCAGGGAGCAAGGGAAACAGGAGTATCTCACTTTCCTGAAAAAGTTAACCATGAAGAGGTCACGCACACCCTGAATTCCAGGAGAAAGTCATGGAATCATCAAAGAACCACTAAGAAGGGATGACAGAGTAAAGCTCTAGTCCTAATCTTGTTCTCTGGGGCTTGTCCACCCTGTCTCACCTCCGTGGCATGTCAGCAGTCAGCATCCCCATTACTTCTCTCAAGCGTGGGGCACGACAACTTGCCCACGCCTTCTGGATTGGGTTAGGAAGGAACCTGAGCTCAACGTCTCGAGAGATGGAGCCTTAGCTCTGACTCCAGGGGCGGCAGTGATCATATGAACTCGGCTTTTTAAAATTGCGGTAGCTCTAAAGCTGATGATGTCTGGTTAGGAAGCGGCTCTTGCCCGCCCCGGCCGCCAGTTCCTTAAGCCCGCCCCATGCCCTCCCAGCTTCCTCCTCTCACGTTCGTCGGTTTTTTTCAGGGCTCCCTTCAGCATTCGTTTCTCAGCATTTAAGTCACCGCCTCCTCGACGCCCCTTTCGCCTCCCACCATATTTCCTGAGCAACCCTTCCAGTTCTCGCGGCCCCTACCTGCCAGCTTCAGATCCCTGTCTGGTTATGGGCGAGGTGCCGGCTACCACACCTGAAGTCTCCAGGAAGTGACTCCTCTCCATCTGCCCCTTCCCTATTGGAGGAACATAATCAGCGGTGCCACCACCCATTGGTTGGTGGTCTGTGATGCAGACGCACAATTGGTTGCTATTTCTGTCGTTCGCAAGATGCAGTGCCCGCCCCTCCCTCTGTCCCACCTTTTGAAAGAGGTGGGGAAAGCCGCCGAGAGGCGTAAGAGGGACGTCCGCTATTCACCAATGGAAAGAGCTGATGGTGTGTAGTGGGAGCAAGAGTGACAACGATTGGTCAGCCTTGCATTTCCACCCCGAAGGCGGGAGCTCCTGGAAGCGGAGGCCAAGGGTGGGGGCTTAGTGGAGTGAGGGGTAACAAGATGGCGACCGAAACGGTGGAGCTCCATAAGCTGAAGGTACGGTGAATTGGGGAAGGGCTGAGTTGGACTTTTCTGGGAACTGAATTCTGCAGAGTGACTTGCGCCTTCTCCTACGTGTTCTCCTTGCAGCCTTTTCCATTTTGTTTCTCGGCTCCCGCCGTAGCTCTTTTGTGCCGCTCTTCCCCACTACGCCTTCCCTAATTTCCCATTTCTCCTCACGGTTTCACTGCTATATATTTTTTGTTATTTCTGTTCCCATCATCGTTGTATCGTCCGTCACCCTTGTCCACCAGGTTGTGTAAGTGCCTTCTACTTGTTATACTCCTCGTTGCTCTTCTGGTCTGCATTACGTCAGTTGGTCCCTCCTCTTTGCCCCAAGTCGGACCCAGGATCCCTTTTTCTTCCCTGGGATGATGTTTCCAGTCTGTCTTCTGAAGCTGAGATTCGCCTGTTAGCAGATGGTGGCATTTTTGTGTGTTTCTGTTTGAATAGATCGCAGACACTCCCCTTTTCTAGGTGGGATTACGTCCCCAGGCAGAATTTTTAAACCAGGGAAAGGCCTCTTAGAAGATCGGTCTCACCTTAGAAGCCTGGGGTTGAGGAGGCCTTGAGATAGAAGTACAGACACCTCATATTTAAAAGTTTTCGAGTTCTCTGACGCGGTTCTCCACTTGCCAGCCTACCTCACACATCATCTCCTACCACCAGAGAGAATTCACATCTGCAGTATTTGGGAAAAACAATTCCAAGGTTAAGATTTAAGCCGGGCGCGGTGGCTCAAGCCTGTAATCCCAGCACTTTGGGAGGCCGAGGCGGGTGGATCACGAGGTCGAGAGATCGAGACCATCCTGGTCAACCCCGTCTCTACTAAAAATACAAAAAACTAGCTGGGCGTGGTGGCGCGTGCCTGTAATCCCAGCTACTCAGGAGGCTGAGGCAGGAGAATTGCCTGAACCCAGGAGGCGGAGGTTGCGGTGAGCCGAGATCACACCATTGCACTCCAGCCTGGGTAACAAGAGCGAAACTCCGTCTCAAATAAAAAAAAAAAAAAAAAAGATTATCTCTGTTCCATTTCATATCTCGATGGGCCCTACATCTCCTGGTGTTACCATTGGGTGACAGTGAATCACAAAAGCTATTTTAAATTGTCTTATGAGAATCTTGGTAGTTTCCTCATACTTGGATTATTATTTTCCTGGAAGAGAGAGTATTTATTTAAGGTAGATTGAAAACAACTAAGATAGATGAAAAAGTTTAAAAATGTATTAAAAAGAAGAAAATTTCAAAGAGTATTTTCTTTTAGGGTAAACTAATCTTGATTAATTCTCTGTGGTTTCACAGGTAGATTTCCTATTAGATGTTTTGGACAAACCAGGCTGTTACAGCTGAAACTGAAAAGTGATCCTTTAAAGCTTGAAGTGTTTTTTTGTTTGTTTGTTTTTGTTGTTGTTAAGAAAGCTTAAGGGTAGGGAGAAGACCTTTCTTTAGTCACTCGTTAGTTGACCCCAATTAGTCTTTCTGTGAAAGCTGATGTTTTTCTTACTCTTGGATTCTAAACTCTGTTAGTGGGTTTTTGTGTTATTCTCGGGTTATTGTTAACTTGGTGGTACTGAAATGCATAGACTGTGTCAGTGGTCTGATAGTTATTGTGATGAGTAGAAGAAAAATTGAGCAATCATCTCCACTTGGTGTATATATACTGTACGTATAGAAATTGTATGCTTCTGTACCATTATAAAACATAGAAAAGGAATTTTTGAATGAGACAAAAAGGAACTATGCATAGAAGACTTAATATTTTCTTTATTTTCTTCCTATTTGTCTTTTTTTTTTTTTTTTTTTTTTTTGAGATGGAGTCTCGCTGTGTCGCCCAGGCTGGAGTGCAGTGGTGCAGTTTCAGCTCACTGCTCCCTCCACCTCCCAGGTACAAGTGATTCTCCTGCCTCAGCCTCCCAAGCAACTGGGACTACAGGCATGTGCCACCATGCCTGGCTAATTTTTATATTTTTAGTGAGATGGGGTTTCACCATGTTGGCCAGGTTGGTGTCGACTCCTGACCTTGTGATACACCCGCCTTGGCCTCCCAAAGTGTTGGGATTACAGGCATGCGCCACCACGCCTGGCTATTTAGCCTATTTTTGAAATCGCTAGAGTAAATCACCAGCTGCCCCATGACTTACTTGCTTTTATAATTGTTTTGGTTTATGGAGTTTCTCCTTCCATCAAATCTGTGTTTGTCAGATCTATATTAAACTTGTATTTGACTGGATAAGTAACTTTTACATAAAGTCCTCTGACCTGATTTCAGTGTTACAGTCTAAGAGAACATTAGGCACTCCTGACAGCCTAAAAAGGACTCGCTCTTTAATCATATTTGCTTGTCTTTGCTTTTTCTCTAGAGCACTTCTTAACCTTTTGGAGGTCACAGATATCTTTGAAACTCTGATGAAAGGTATGGACCCTCTCTCCCCAGAAAAAGGCATGTACACGTACTTTGCATGCAGTTTGAGGGGCTTCATAAAACTACCTTGTAGCCCTGAGGAGTCCATGGACCTCTGGTTAAGAACTCATGCCTTTGACCAGGCATGGTGGCTTATGCCTGTAATCCTAGCACTTTGGGAGGCTGAGGTGGGTGGATTGCTTGAGGCCAGGAGTTGGAGACCAGCCTGGGCAACATGGCAAAACCCCACCTCTACTAAAAATGCAAAAATTAGCCAGGCATGGTGGTGCGTGTCTGTAGTCCCAGCTGCTGGGAAGGCTGAGGCACAAGAATCACATGAGCCCCGGGGTGGAGGTTGCAGTGAGCCGAGATCGTGCCACTGCACTCCAGCCTGGGGGACAGTGAGACTCTGTCTCAAAAGAAAAAAAAGAACTCATGCCTTTGATTCTGATATTTAGGACAGTTTATGTTTGGTTCCACTGGTGATCTTGATGCAATGATCCTGACTTCTAGGTTGACTTGAGATTTTATTGCCTTTAAAAAAAAGTCTTGGCTGGGTGCCGTGACCCATACTTGTAATCCCAACACTTTGGGAGGCTGAGGCCAGGAGTTTGAGACTAGCTTAGGCAACATAGTGAGACCCTGTCTCTACAAAAGATTAAAAAATGAGCTGGGCGTGGTGGTGCACACTTGTAGTCCCAGAGCAGTGACCGACACCTGTCATTCTAAGATTTTGGGAGTCTGAGGTCAGGAGTTTGAGACTAGCTTAGATAACAATAGTGCGACCCTGTTTCTACAAAAGATTAAAAAATTACCTGGGTGTAGTGGTGCACACCTGTAGTCCCAGCTCCTTGAGAGGCTGAGGTGGGAGGATCACTTGAGCCTGCGAGGTTGAGGCTGCAGAGAGCTGTGTGATGATTGCTCTGTTGCATGCACATCAGCCTTGGTGACAGAGGGAGACCTTGTCTCCAAAAAAAAACAAAAAGAAAAAGAAAAAAAAAATCTGTTTATTGTCATTAAGAGAATTTTGGGCTTTGGTATGGCACCTCAGAGGAACGGAATATGCTTTGAAGTAGGAAGGAAACATGGTATCATGTATCTGAATTGATACATGACATCATATCAGCAGCAAATTTCTGAGGATTTTTTAGAAATGCAGTCATTCTTTTTTTTTTTAAATTGAGACGGAGCCTTGCTCTGTTGCCTAGGCTGGAGTGCAGTGGCTTGATCTCAGCTCACTGTAACCTCCACCTCCCAAGTTTAGTGCTTCAGCCTCCCTAGTAGCTGGGATTATAGGCACGTACCTCCATGCCCAGCTAAGTTTTGTATTTTTAATCTTTTTTTTTTTTTTTTGAGATGGAGTTTCGCTCTTGTTACCCAGGCTGGAGTGCAATGGCGCGATCTCGGCTCACCGCAGCCTCCGCCTCCTGGGTTCAGGCAGTTCTCCTGCCTCAGCCTCCTGAGTAGCTGGGATTACAGGCACGCGCCACCACGCCCAGCTAATTTTTTGTGTTTTTAGTAGAGACGGGGTTTCACCTTGTTGACCAGGATGGTCTCGATCTCTCGACCTCGTGATCCACCCGCCTCAGCCTCCCAAAGTGCTGGGATTACAGACTTGAGCCACCGCGCCCGGCAAGTTTTGTATTTTTAATAGAGACAGGGTTTCACCATGTTGTTGGCCTGGCTGGTCTCGAACTCCTAACCTCTGGATTATAGGTGTGAGCCACCGTGCCTGACCCATTCTAACACAGTTGGAAAGAAAGATTGAACTGTGGGTGAAAATGCCTTGAACTGCATTTTGAACAGCATCAGATTTCCAGTCAAATATCAGAAAAAAGAAGTACTGCAGAGGGGAGGAGAGCTGTAGTAGTGTTAGAGTGCTAAGAACAGTGAGACATTTGTATTGAAAAGTAAAGTGAGGTAGTTGAAGATAGTTTGGAAAGGAAAATAGGTAAACTAACCATAAGTGTAAATCAGAGTGGTATTGAAAAGGGCTTTCTAAGTTGTGTAAGGATTTCTGACCCTTGTCATGTAATGATAAGTAGGGCTGGGGGCCTTTGGAAGTTTGAAAGGAGAAACTTGATATGATCAGTTTGTGTTCTCTTGGCAGATAGTGATTTCACCGCTTAGGTGTTTATTATAGAAGTCAGTCGCCTGCTTAAAACCTTTAAATTATATCCCTGCCAGTTTCTTCAGGATAGTTAGTCATACGTCAACTACTGCAGCCTTATTTTATTTTATTTCTTTTATCTTCATTAATTGCTAACACTTAGCATTTATTATGTGGCAAAACACTGTTTGAAGCCATTTATATACATTAATTGATTTAATTCTTAT